GTCGGACAGTTCGTTTACGGCAGCTGTTGAAACCAGTTCACCTCAGTAGTGCGTTGCGAAAAAAACAATGGAAAAAAATATTGAACAAAGAGTTTGCATCAAATTTTGTTTTTCGAACGAAATTTCGTGTGCAGAATCGTTGCGAATGCTACAAAAGGCTTATGGGGAATCAGTTTTATCGAAAACTCAAGTTTATGAGTGGTACAAAGCCTTTCAGGACTGTCGTACGACCGTCGAAGACATGCCGCGTTCTGGACGACCTTCGACCTCTACCACCGACGAAAACATTGAAAAGGCAAAGGAAATCGTGTTCAAAAATCCTCATGTGAGTGTTAGAGAGATAGCACGAGAGCTAGGCATCGGTCGTGAGATGGCTCGTTTGATTTTGGTGGACAATTTGTGTATGCGACGTGTCAACGCCCGGCTTGTTCCGATTCACCTCAATTTGTTCAACATTATCAACGATTTTAAGGCCAAACATTCAATAAATACCATCGAACAGCCACCGTATTCACCTGATCTTGCACCGTGTGACTTTTTCCTGTTTCCCAACCTCAAATTACCACTCAGAGGAACGCGTTTTGAATCCATAGAAGACGTAAAACAGAATTCGCAGAGGGAACTCAAAGCCATACCGGAAAGCGCCTATAAAAAATGTTTTGATGATTGGAGCCGTTGGCATTTGCTTGTATCGCTTCTCATGGGCATATTTTGAAGGAGATAAAATAAATATTGATGAAGATTAAGAATTTTGCGTTTTATTTATTTATTTCCGGAAACTTTTCGGTCACAATGTATGATTGGTAGATGCGGCTGGAGTGGATGTCGATCTTGGAACAAGCGATTCGCTATAAAAATGTGTAAAACGCGAGCTTAATCATAAAAAGTGGTGCAATCTCTACTAAGCCCTATCTTTGTACCTATAACCATCGCATGGGTAATGACCAAATATGACTTATTGATATGAAAATATAAATATGTATTCAAAGCATATGGATGATATATCTGAAGGAGGTACTAGAGGCACTCGACACTTGAGGAATTTTACCGCTCCGGCGAACGCACATCGGATCTGAAGGAGCGAAATTCATATATATGTAACAATAGGTCTATTATAGTAGAAAACTACGGCTTTATGCACCACAAGGAGATTAAGGAATTAAGAAGAATATGATAGTTTGTTAGTGTAGTGATAATTTGTTATGTATTTAGTTATATAGAAGAGTAAAGGTCAGATGTTTTTAAGAAGTCTATGGTTTTCTGGATATTGAAGTGAGTTGGTGAGGCAAAAATTTCGAAGAGATTGGATTCATTTCATCTAATTACAAACGATGGGTATTTATGATATCACGTCAGAATGTGGGTAATGGTTAAATTTGTGTTGCATACTTAAAATGTAGGTGTGGAGTGTTTTTCAAGATGTGGTCGTTTATTAACCCTTCTAATAATATTTTACCTAAATTGTTATGAAAATGATAAATATTGAGCGATATAAAAAGTATTACTTGTTTTTTGATACATTAATTCGTAATTAAAAACTGAATTTTCATCGATAGAAAATTATTTATTAATTTAGTTTATTAAATATTTTAATAGTTAATTAATATTTTCGACCTCTACCAACTAGTCAGGTTTAAGGTCAGTTATTAAGCCTCCTCTACTAAAATCTCTTGTTGATTTGGCGTGCCCGAAAAATCAGAACCCCAACGAAATATCAGATTATATTATATAGCCGTATCCCTTGGTGTAGCTACTTCTGTTATATAGTAACTGAATTGAGTTGTAGAAAAACTTCTTTTGTTAGAAGTTTAATAAAGTTTAATAAAAAAAAATTATTCTATTAATTATTTCATTGATTACCATAATACAGTGAAGTGGTGCAGTGCTAGTTTTCATTTTTCATTTGAACCTCTATACGATCAAAATATAATTTTTAAAAAAACTATACCAAACCACCAGCTATTATTTTTTTTATATGATGAAAAAAAATAAATTCCACTTCCGACTTACCTTCTCTACTTCGCGTGCACAGCAACTGCTCCACTTCCGACTGATTGATGACAATGAGGACCGCCCCTTTAATTTGCGCGTTTTAATAAAAAAAAGCTTGGATCTGCGGGTCTTAGAAAAATCCGATAGCTAGTTTGCAAGAGCGTTGAAGATAAATACATGAAGTCTTTGCAAAATAGTGCCAGTGACTTGAAAATGAAAACTAATTCTTTTTTAATATTTGTTTACTTACACTGCTAGTAAAACGATTAATAAAAAAAAACAGTTAATCACAAAAATAAATCAATAATGTCAATCAAAATTCTCAATAAACAACAACAATTTTCCTTAAAAATTTTACCGTTCGAATGTGAGAAAAAAAATATTTTGTTTATTATTTATTCAAGATTATTTGTTATTCTTACAGATTCTTTATTTAAATAGAAAAGTTTCTAAGATTAGATTAGAATCGCTTTTGTATACATAACACATTGTTAGGAATTAGAAAGTCATTAGTATCAGTGGTTTGAAGAAGAAGAATTGCAAACATTGAGTGAATTTCTCGATAATGGAAGGTTTAGGGTTTAGAATGAAAATGACTTTGCCTATATATATTACGGATAAATGCGTAAGCTGAAAAAATTCCCATTAAAATACAACAAAATCTTTTTTAACGGCACCTCTCCTTACACGTCACGGAAATCAATAAGTACCCCGAAACAAACAAACACCTAGCTCAAGTAAAGTCCCGCTGTAATATAACAAAATCTCATTTATGGACAACCCTTCACACATACCACGAAAATTATTAAGAAATAAGTGGCTGCACTAGAAGTTTACAAGATTAGCTTAAGTAGTATTAGTAGTAATAATAGTAAAACACGATTGTTTTGAGAAGCCCCATGGTTTCATAACAAAATTGCATTTAAAGCGCCCTCTACTCACACTTCACGAAAATTAATAAAAGAAATGTTTACAAAGTTAAATATTTACAAGGTTAGGTTAAGTAGTAGTAGTAATAAACTCGATCCCAAAGGAGTCCTATTGTCTCATAAAAAAATTCTGTTTAAAGAGCCCACTTCTCACATGTCACGTAAATTAGTAAAGAACCATTGCCTCAACTAGAAGATTTGATTAACTAGTAATAGATACATACATTTAGCCCAAGAGAAATTCCATTGCACTATTATAATATCTCATTTAAAGAAACCTCTCCTCACACATTATGGAAATCAGTAGCTCAATTTGAGAGAATCTGTACCGTAGTCATTGCATGTCATACCTATTCTCAAGGCGTGACGACCTATAATATTTTTTGATTTATATGACCGCATTCAATAAGGTCATAGGATCCCAACTTAGTAATGCTATATGCAAAACTAAATGTTACTATACCAGGTCAAGAAAACAATATTCCAGTGTGTGTCGATGTTTCACTTGAACACTCTCCGCTTTTAATACCATTATACCATCATATCAAAATTGTCTTCTCTTTAAGATCCTAATCTAGTGTGCTTATTGTGTTTAATTTTGGTTTTTTAATTGTTAGTTATTATATTCCACGTAAATATCGGATTTTAAACCAAGATACAACTGCAACAAATAAATCCATATTTACATATGTTCTTCCTATCCAGCTGATATGTTTGTTAAACTATGTTATTAGCTTATGCCGTTGTTGTTGTGGTAACCCGTGGAAAAATCTGCTGATATTTGCCCTTTTAGTATGGTGAAAGGCATTTTATAGACGAAATAAACGAGTAGCCGTTCTGGCACCCACAGTCCAATTATGAGCTCACTCACTGCCTTTTATAATCTCTTCACTTTAGCCACAGGAATAGTTATGGGCACATGATGATGAACGAGCTTCAGTTAATCAATGATTGAAGGTCTGTATACCAATTTAAGATTGATGATATGTAATAATATAATTTTACACGACCCTATCCTACTATTCATCCTTATTCTTTGTTATAAGCATACCACCAACATAGAAACCGAGATTTGCGTTGTTTGCTATGTTCTCCAGAAAATCGTAAAACTTTGGGACGACGCAGAAATTATATAAAAAATCTGATTCTTTTCTAGGAAACTTTACGAATAAATATCGTACTTTATTAGCATGGAATACTAAGTTTAATTTTCTCTAAATTATACTAAAATATGCAGCTTTGAACAATTCAGACAACGATATTATTGTATACAAAATATGCCTAGTTGCTAGTTAGTGAGACTATAACTTGATGATGTGCTTAATTATAATAAATAAGTATAATAACTTGGTGGGTTATTTTGTTTTCTTTTACAACAATTATATTTATTAAAGAATTTCGAAAACTAAATAAAATTCATTAAATTAATTTTATTTTAATATTATATATTTATAAGTGCAATAAGTTTTTATAAAAAGTTTTAATGTAATGTTTTAATAAAAAGAAATAAAAGAAATTCATTTTTAAAAATATTTACAATAAATGATGCATGCAAATTAATGTAAAAAATATGTATTTATAAATTAAATGATTTTGAAATTAATGCCTGCATAAATTTAAATTTGAACTAATATATGAAAATTAAATTAAGAGTAACTTAAATTTCAACTTAAATGTAAAAAAGCAAATTAAAATTTGTTCTGGAAACCACGTTCTTTGCGTCTAAGCAACGTTTGAGAACTTTCCCTTTGTATGTTCTTGCGAAATAGAGCTCTATTTTTAAAATTAAGAGCGCTCTCCTTACTTAACTGTAGGCTATCAACTTTCTTGCCTTTTTTTAAATTGACAATTTCACCTGTTGACATTTCTTCCTCTATAAATTGGCCTGATTGAGTCCATTTTGGTTTCGGTAACGAATGTTTCGGTTCCTCGATATAACGTTTGCGTTTGCGGCTTTTACGAGATGATGTAGGAGACAAATCCTGGCAGTTACTTTCTACCTTAAAGCCGACACATTTTGGTGTAAATGGACTTTCTCTAAAACCATTTACTATTGCTTTACGACACGGTGTCATGGGTTCGACACAAACAGTTCCAGTTGGCAAATTAAATGTGGTAATGTGAATTTTCTTTTTTGGTGTAATGGGTGTTTCTATTATATCCCCAGCAGAAGATTTTATTTTATGTACTTCAATCGATGTCTGTGCTTGATCTTCAGATTTTGATACTAAAACAAATAATTGAAATTTATTATATTTTTATGAGTAAATTTTAATATTTTCCATTTATTACCTGCTTCAGAAATTGACTCTTCTGTTATTTGATCCTGTTTTGATGCATGTTTATTTCCATCCACCAACTACAAAAATAAAATGTTAACACACAAATATTAAATAAAAAATTAATATTTGATAAATAATTAAAAAATTTCCACAACTAAGCAAAAGCAGTTTCAAAAGTTAGTTCCAAGAACGGTCGGGTCTACATCCCTGAGCCACTCGTCACCTACGACGACCAAGTACCGAGTACCAAGTATCAGTTTCAAAAGTTAGGAGAACGATACAGATTAATTGAGATGAACTTAGGCTAATATTGTGGGGTACCGTTAAACAACTACCTATCTGCTCTGATTAGTTAGTTCTAGTTTACGTTTTGTTGCAAAATCGTCTCTACTAATAGGTTGTTTGCGAAGACAGAATAGTTGTATTCAGTTCATGTAGTTTACAAGTTCGTTAGCATTACTTTATGCTAACTTCCTAAGTTTATTGAAAAGTTCATTATTATATTATAATATTTATTAATACAAACGAAATAAATTACACATCAATGGTTCAAAAATTGCTAGCAGATTTTATAGCCAGTAATACGTATATATCAGTAATACCTATATCAGTAATATACCAGTAATATATCAGTAATACCTATATCACTAATATAACAGTAATATGTCAGTAACATAACAGTAATATATCACTAATTTATCAGTAATATATCAGTAATCATATATAAGTGATGTTAGTATATATCACTTATTTTTGAATTATGTGAATCTGTTAAGCAGAAAATCCTAAATGAGTTCTAAGATATTGTAAAAGGACATAATGTATCGATAGTATAATTATTAGAATAATTTATAGTAAACTTTTAATTGAAGTCGAAAAAGTATAAAAGAGGTAATTAACAACTAGCATAGATCTATGTGCAAAGATTTTCAACTGAACAGGAAGAGGCTATATTGGGTTCCACTTGATGTGCACAATTAAGCAACTTAATATATAGGTAAAGTCACAACAGGTCAAATAGAAGCCAAGAATAAATGTGTATATTTGTTACATGAAACTTGTGGCTATAAATCTTAAACTACAAGAATTTGTTTAGAACCCTAACGCAACAATGTATGGGTTCTGGAAATACTTTGTTGATAGAGCTGTAAGCTCTTTTTAATACATGATTTTATTGAAATTTTCTACGTCACGAAGTTGAAGATGTGTTTAAGTTCCCAAGGAGCATTCACAAATTTAACAGAATATTGTAAATTTGTTGTAATTGAGGAAATATTAAAGATAGGTTTAGTAATATGCTATTAAAAACTTTAAGTTCTCAAGAAATTGAGAACTAAAAGTTTAAAACAGAGTCGCCACACAAAAAGTGACTTTGGGACATAAATTCCATATACGAAAGCTACTACATTAGCGATGGTTTAAAGTATATAAATAAGAGTGACTCTATCCTCACCTTCTTATTTTTCTTTTTCTTCTTAGACATTTGAGTAATAACATCTGCTGAAAATTTTAGTGCTTGTTCCACAGCTAATTTGGTTTTTTCTACAAAAAAAAAAATTTTTTTTTAAAATATTTTTATACAGAAAATATAAAATACAAAAACCAACCTTTTCGTTTAAAATCATTTTTGCTATCTACGACTGGACTGTTCACATTATCAATCGCAGCCTTTTTGGGAACTTCAGGATTTGTATCTTGTTCTTGAGATACTTCGTTTTTGTTCTACACAATTATATTTATTTTTTAATATATTTTATAGTTTTTAAATTATTTAAAGCTTACCTTTTCAAGTACATCTTTCATGTTCTTAGCAGTTAAATCTTCCAAACTCTGTATATAATGAAAAAAAAAATATTTTAAAAGTTATAAGAAATTGTGTTTTTGTTTTTGGAATTAATAATTTTTAATTTTGATTTCATACCTTATCGACTTCTGAATCATTTTGTCCCAAAATTTTACGTTTCTTGTTTACATGACGCAACTCAAAGTCTGTGGTATCGAGTGAACCGGCACTGCAAAAACTTTGTGTCATACGTTTCCTTTTAATATTTTTATCTTTACGAGTTTCTTTTTTGTCTTCAGAAATATTTTCTATAAATGATTGACCTGCATTCAAAGATTGATCAGGAATACGATGACCTGTTGGAGCTAAACTTCGACGACGATTATCAACATGGATTTTATCTATTTGCTCAAAATTTGTGAAAACATGCTCCTCCGCATCGTGAAACTCATCATTGTCTGTTTCTACTGCTTGTATGAGTTGGGTGGTATGTTCTTCAACTTTTTCATAGCCACTCTCATCGGTTTGATGTTCAGGATCCCCAACTTCAAATGTGTTCACCGTACATGATGTATGTAGTTTCTCATAGTATTTTTCGTTCGCTATCTTATTAAAATCAATAAAACTTGTGCATAAACGGCTACTTACTTTAGCTGTCGCCTTTAACTTGATTTCGTCTTCATCTGAACTACTTGTTCTTTCTAAATCTCTTCTAAATTTTCTTTTCTTTGAATTTGATAAAATTGCGGTTTGAATCTTGGAATTTGTGTTTAATGAGTGTTTATTATTCAACGTTTGACTTTGATCTGCCACATCTGCTTCGCTTTTTTCTGGTTCAGAGGATGAAGTTGGTAGTTCATTACGTTTATTCAATGAATACTTCTTTTTGGTTGACTTATTTACGGATTTCTTATTTATCTCTATTTTATCCTCATCACTTGAATCGGCCTCCTCTTGTTCATTTAAATATTTAACATTTTTGTATGAAAGATTTTTAGATAAATTACACTCATTCTCTTCTTCAGTACTTGATTCATTATCGCTCATATTCCGAATTTCAACAAAATCACTATCAGAATGAGTCTGTGAAATCGATTCCTTAGTTTCAACATTTTCTTTCCTTTTATGCAATGAATTTCTAAGAGATTTATTTTTTTCTATTGATTTTAATTTACTTTCTTCAAAAGACAAGGACTTTCTCTTTGAATGATTGAGGTTTCCCATATTACAAGATGAATTATTCTTGCCGACATCAATTTTGGTTTTTTTATTAAGTAGTGACCTCCTTTTAGAAGGACTAATAGTCTCAGCTTCGTTTTCAATTTTCTCTTCATTTTGTTTATGGTATAAGGAATGTTTTTTAACATCTAATTTACTATTTACATCTTTTCTCTCATTAAGCGATGAATCACTGCTTTCGTCACTAGATGACGGGATATTTTCAATATTTTTCTTAATTTCTTTCCGAGATACTGATTTTTGTGGCGATTCTGGTTTACATTTTGTCTCTTCATCAAAATTGGAAGAAATATATTCCGTTATTTTCTTTTGTTTACTGGAAAGTGATTTTCGTGATAAGCAAGATTTATATCCGTCTTCTACATCAGCATTATATGAACAAATACTTTTATTTTTGTTCTGATCTACTTTGTTCTTGGATACATATTTTTCTAATGGTTGTGATTTATATTCAATCTGTTCTTCATCACTTGATACCCTATCTTCTTCGTCGTCATCAATGAATGAACGACCCTTTTCAATTTTAGATTTTTTGTCTTTATAGGAATTTGATTTTCCAAATGATCTTGTTTTATGTTCTATTTCTTCTTCATCACTATTCTCCAAATCTTCTTCATGTTCTAACTCCTCTTCATTACTGAACTTAAAATCGACTACATGTTCTGACTCTACTT